TCTACAAAAATCAGTAGCCTTTCTACAAGCAATTGGAGAAAGAATACAGGGAAAAGCTCCCATAAACAATTGCTGCAAAAAAATATCTTGGAATAAATCTGACCAAAGACAACAAGGATCTCTACAATGAAAAATTTAAATCGTTAAAGAAAGAGATTGAGGAAGACACCAGGAGATGGAAGGACCTCCCATGCTTATGGATTGGAAGAATTAATATTGTGAAAATGAGCATCCTATGAAAAGCAATATATAGATTCAGTGCAATCCCAATCAAAATCCCCATGATATACTTCATAGAATTAGAAAGAAACCATCATTAAATTCATATGGAAGCAGAAAAGACCCCAGAGAGCCAAAGCAACCCTGAGCACAAAGAACAACACTGGGGGAATTACTATACCAGATCTCAAAGAACACTACAAAGCTATAGTCATAAAAACAGCATGGTACTGGCACAAAAATAGACACACAGATCGGTGGAATATCATTGAATCCTGAGTACATACAATTTCAGCCACCTGATATTTGACAAAGGTGTCAAGAACACACAATGGAGGAAAGACAGCATCTTCAAGAAATGGTGCTGGCAAAACTGGATCTCCACCTGTAGAAGAATGAAACTAGATCCTTATCTTTCATCTTGCACAAAAGTCAACTCCAAATAGATCAAAGACCTCAATGTGAAACTGGAAACCCTGAAACTATTAGAAGAAAATATTGGCAGTAACTTACAAGATATAGGTGTAGGAAAGGATTTTCTAAATTGGACAGAAGTTGCTCAGGAATTAGGGTCAGCAATCAAAAGTGGGACTTCATTAAACTAAAAAGCTTCTGTACAGCAAAAGAAACAATCCAAAAAATGAAGAGAAAACCCACAGAATGGGCAAAAATCGTCACCAGTGACACATCTGACAGAGCTTTAACATCCAGAAGATATGAAGCACTCAAAAAACAATCTAGAAACCAAATGACCCAATTAAAAGATGGGCTAGGGGCTGGAGGGATGGCTCAGTGGTTAAGAGCACTGACTGCTCTTGCAGAGGACCTGGGTTTGATTCCCAGCACCCACATGGTGACTACATACTGTCCTTAACTCCAGTTCCAGGGGAATTTGAAGCCCTATTCTGACCTCTGCAGCATTGCATGACATGGGTGCACTCACATACATGCAGGTAATACAGTCATACACATAAAACAAACAAACAAAAAACCCAAAAAACAAAAAACAAAAAAAGATGGGCTAAAGATCTAAAGAGAGTTCTCAAAGGAGGAAATAAAGATGGCTAAGAAACATCTTTAAAAGTGTTCATCACTGTTAGCAATTAGGGAAATTCAAATTAAAACCACCATAAGGTTTCATTTTAACCCAGTCATAATGGCTAGGGTCAAGAGAATAAGTGATACCCAATGCTGGCGAGAATATGGAGAAAGGGGAATACTCATTCACTGCTGATGGGATTGCAAACTCACTCAACCCCTATGGAAAGCAGTGTGGAGAACCCTTAAAAAAAAATAAAAATGAGCCTACCATTTGACCCAGTTTTACCACTCCTTGGCATATACCCAAAGAACTCATCCTATTGCAGAGACACTTGTACATCCATATTTGTTGCTGCTATTTTACCCCAATTAGACTGGCTAGGATCAAGAGAACAAATGATACCAAATGCTGGATGGGATGTCAAGAAAGGGGAACACTCATTCACTGCTGGTGGGATTGCAAACTTGTGGAGCCTCTATGGAAAACAGTGTGGAGAACTCTTAAAAAACTAAAAATGAGCCTACCACATGACCCGGTTATACCACTCCTTGGCATATACCTAGAGGACTCATCCTATTGTAGAGACACTTGTACAACCATATTTGGTGCTGCTCTTTTCACAATAGCTAAGAGATGGAAGCAACCTAAGTGCCCCTCAACTGACAAGTGGTTAACAAAAATGTGGGATATTTAAACAATGGAGTTAAGCAGTTAAAGAAAGATGAACTAATGAAATTTGCAGGTAAATGGATGGGTCTAGAAACTGTTATATTAACAGAGACTCAGAAAAATAAACGATGTATATTCTCCCTCATATGTGGATCCTAGCACCAAAGCCTTTTAGATTCCAGGTCCTTTTAATAAGATGATGCTATACAGCAGTCCCTTCTGCATACAATATCTACCATCATCACAACTTCAGCTGAGCCTGATCACTAAACATTGTCACAACTGGGCTTGTTGATGATTGTGCTCATTCATTAAAGGAGGGCCAAGCAGGGTCATTGAACCCTCACTGGAATATCCAGCCACTCTTCCCAGCCAACTGTATAATTTGGCCCTAAACACACATGGCCTCCTGGATTTGGCAAGGGCTAAACATATACGATCTGGGGAAAGCTAGGAAGAGAAGGCATGACCCATGCTGGGTAATGGCTTTCCAGTGTGCATACCCTCAGGTCATACATACACCTCAGTAACCCCTCAGTTATCTCGGTAAGTAAGCTCAATAAATTCATTGGTTCCCCAATAAAACTTTAATCAAACATTGGCTTGACAGTAGAACCTTAAAAGAGAGTAAGTATTGCTTAGTATCCCCAGGAAAAGAAGTCTCACAACGGATGGAAAATGTATTTGTTAATGCTATTATGCCTCATAATTATTTTAAAAAAAGAAAATGAGAATGTAAAAGATGTTAAAAGGATATGAGAATGGGGGTATTTTCCAAAATAGACTGAAAAAAATGAGAAAGTCTATGCAAGTGATAAAGGTCTGTGTAGGTTTATTATGATATATAAATGATGAGATGAAAATAGTATACACATAATCTTAAAATTTCTATGGTCATAGTTTAGTCAACTAGTTTAAGGAATAAAATATATATCTAGCCAAGGTTTATCTGTGAACATTTGGTTTTTTTACTCAAGATTTATCTACATAGCACATGATAATTAAAAGTACCAGACTGGTAGAACTAACCCTCTTGGATGTCTAACATCCATACTTTGAGGCCTATACTAATCTGGTCAGAGACTTAAAGGAAAGTTTTTGCCCCTTACCTTCCAAGGTCAACTAAGTTCCAGGGGACTATGAGCATCAAAATGTCCTGTAACTGTGGTGAATCACCTGTCCTCTTGATCAAGGAGGCCATGGAGACCCTACCAGATGGACTTGAACCAG